TGGGTACAGAGAAAGGCTCCTCTTTGTGGGTGCAAGCGTTGGGGGCCAGGAGAGACCCTGCTGCCTGCAGGCCAGTGTGCTGAGAAAGGCCGGGGAGGGGGGTCGGGGGCAGAGGGTGCCAGGCCTGCCCGCAGGCAGCGCAGGGAGGAGCGATGCCGTCCTGGACGATGGGCATGTGGCAGACCCCTTAAAGAGCAGGGTCCTCTGAGGGCGGGCGCAGCACCAGCACCTGGCACTCGGGGCTCTGCGGGAGCCGCCGCATGAGTGCAGCCCCCAGGGGCTAGAAGGACACACGTGAGAGGAGACTCACTTGCTCACGGTGTCTCTCCAGGGCGGGAAGTGGGATCTTTGCGTGTGTCCTGCACAGTTTCCGTGTCTGCCAGGTCTTCTGCAGGGACCAGCATGGCACTCACTCTCGGAAAAATGGAATCCCATCCGTGCCTGCGTGTGCGCAGACAGATCGCACACACCTGTGAGATGCACACACGCCCAGTCTTAAGGCTAGTGCCCTGCCGGCCCTCCGTCCACATGGGCTCCCAAGTGCGGGCTGGGCATGGGGCTCCATGCTGCAGCCAGGGTCTGCCCCCCTGTGCGTCTGTGTAAGTGGCAACTGGCGGACACGCTGAGGGCAGGAAGTGGTGGCTACGAGGAAGTGTCACCTGGGGCTTCTGGACAGACAGCGGCAGCTCACTCTGCCTCTCTCTCATCCACCCCTGCGGCCTCCGCCCTGCAGGCCAAAGGCAGGGCTGAGCACGGGCAACTTCGGGAAGGACCCGGTGCCTGGGGCCCTGCAATGCAAACCGGCCCCCGAGGGGCACCGGGGCAGTGGTACAGACCACAGCCAGGACACTGTCATTATTAAACTTGGACCTTAGACCGTGCCCTTTTACCCCACGCACAGCCAGCGCTCTGTCCACCCTCCCCCATCCCGGGTTTTCTAGACTGTTCTCCTCATGAGGGCCATGGGCCCCAGGACACACAGCCAAGTAGGCTGGAATCCGTGTGAGCACGTGGCTGAGCTCCTCCGGGGGCCCATATGACGACCAGTGAGACGTCCCTGCTGCGTCTCTTCCTCTCTTTGCAGGCAACCAGGCTGAACGTCCCAGGAGGACGGGCCGGGTCCATCCTGTTTGCCGGGCACTGAGAGCAGCGGCTGGTGACACACTCACGGGGTTGCCCCGTCCCCCGGGGCTGCCGTAACAGGACCACAGGCGGGCGGGGGGTGCCCATCAGCAGACTTGGACTGTCTCGGAGGTCAGGAGTCCTGACACCCTAAAGCGAGGCCTCAGCGGGGCGGGGCCTGGAGGGAGAGGCCGCCCGGCCTGTCCCGGCCTCCGGTGCTGCCAGGGCCTCGGGCCCTCGGGCCCATCCCCACTTCTGCGCCCTCCGGGCCCCAGGTCCGAGTCTCCCACCCCATCCTCTGCCTCGTCCAAGGACCCCCTGTGGAGCCGTGGGCCCTCCGGCAACCAGGTCCAGGCTCTGCCGCCCCTGGGAGCCTGGGCCACACGCGTCTCACTTCGGGCTGGGCTGGGCGACAGGGCCTTCCTCGTCATTGTCCCCTTCATCAGGGCAGCTCCCACTGGCTGCCCCACGGGTGGCTCTTTGCCTTTTATTCCGTGACTTTCTTTAGGCAGAAGGGCCCTTGAGCCTCTTCTCCCCGAAGCACCTGTGTCCCAGGCTGTCAGCACTTTGCTGTCTCCTCGGTGGCCAGGCCATCTCTCCAGGACCCTCCCCGGGGCGGTCGGAGCCCCAGCCTGGGCTCCAGGCCCGTGATCGCCAGAGCAGCACAGCGTCCCTTCTGGGCCCACGCAGGACAGAGCCAGGCCCCGCCCCGGAGGATGAGACGCCAGCCCTCACAGGGCTTGTCTCCTAGATGTCCGACAGGTCAAGGTGACGCAGATGCTATCAGCCTTCGGGGGGAAACACGCATCATTTCTAGAGTCAAACCAGACACCCGGGCAACGACCGGTGACCACTGACCCCCACGTCTCCCTTCTGGCCCCTTCCTCGTCACAGCCGCATCCGGCTCCCCACACACCCCGGGCTCACCCCAGAGCCCAGCACCCCGCCTCCTGTGAGCTGCCCTCCTTTGACTTCGGCCGCCCCAGACAAGAGTGGGGGCTGTGCGAGGTGCAGCCAGCCCTCCCCCCGATTTGCAAATGACGGAAAAGGACCCAGAGCAGACAAGCTGTGACCCGCCGGGGCAGTAGGCTCCACAGCGGGGTGGCTGGCCGGCCGGTGCCAGGCTGTGGGTCTCACCCACGCAGGTGAGCAGGCCCTCCTGGCTGCCCACCGTGTGGAGCAGGACCCCCCCAGCTCCCGCCCCTCGCACCTCCCCTGCTTCCCCAAGCCCCAGCCACTCGCAGGGCCCCGGACGCCCGCCCCTGCCCCACCTCCTGGAGCTGGAACAGAACTCGAGTCCTCTGGTCTTCCTGACTCCCCTCACGACATCGCCTCCCTGGTGTCTGAGTTGCTTCCATTCCCATTTTCTCGTGAGGTTCTAAAACTATGTATTTTACAGTCATCCCAGTGGGTTCTCGCTTTATAATGAGAATCCCGAGTCTTTGCAGGATTTCAGGGAAGACCCCCAGCAGCAGCCCCACCTGCCTGTTGGAGGTGGGAGGCGACGATCATGTGGGTTTTGCTGTCGTGATGGGGACAGGTGGCACGGAGCCAAGGCAGCGCCGCAGCCGCCACACCGGGGCCACGGAGGCAGGAAGGCCACCTCTTCAGTGGGAGGGTGGCAGAGGGGGGGCAGTGAAGGAGACACATGGCACAGCAGACACAGAGAGGCGCTGGGAGCCACTGGGACAGGAACAAACGTCTTTATTCAGCTCGTCCATCCTGGGTTCACCCCAAAGCTTCACACCCCCTCCCTGCCCCCATCCAAGTCCATCACGTGACCACCAGGGCCAGAAACAGGGGTCCTGCCCGCGGTCCCCCCGCCTCCCACCCCACAGGGCACAGCAGGGGCAGTCGTGCGACTTGAAAGTGTGGGTTTCGCACACTGAGGATCCACAGTCCTCGGACCAGAGCCCACGGTGTACGACGGCTCTCCGGGTGCTGATGTCTGCGCAGCCTCCCAGGCGCCTCCCCAGAGCAGGTGACACACCTATTCCAGACGAGACCTCTCCCTGGCTCAGCGGGAACTGCCCGGAGAGCCGAGGCTCCCACCTGAACCGCGGCCAGGGACGTTTCACCGGCCAGCTGTATGAAATGAACAGTCCACGAAATGAAGGCACCGGGAGGAGTCCCGGGGGGAGAAAGCATTTATCGAAGTCAAGGAAGCACACGGAAGACCGTCCCTCGTACGTCCCTTGTACGTCTGCGAGCTCCTGGCCAGGTGCAAGTGCAAGAACAGCGGGCCCCCGCCCTGTGCCCACACACAGGACAGAGCCAAGGGGGTCACCGAGGCCCAAGTGCCCCTCCTGCTCGGCCCGCCCCAGGCGCCTCACCCACCAGGGGTGGAGGACACCGCGGGCCCCGCCCCCGCATGCTGCCCTGTGGCACCAGGCCGACCAGGTTTAAGCTCATCTGTGCACTACTTGGTGGGGACCCAAAATCAAAGCCACTGAAACTGACGCCCCCATGCCCCCAGACACGGAGCAATCCATTCCACAGCAGCGGGACCTGCGCAGGGCCCGCTGTGCCAGGTCTGTGCTGCGGGCCCACGACCCCTGCTGTCCCCAGGGGCACAAGGTCAAACCCGATCCCTGAGATCACAGGCTCTTACGGCACCACCCTCAATCACCTCGAGTGCATGTCCACTGAGAGGAGGGACAGTGGTCCCGGGACAGCAGGTGACCTGCCCCAGGCACTGCTCGAGGACTAAGTGCTTCCCACGCGTCCTGCGTGTCCCCCACAAGCCCTGCAGGACAGACACAGCCGAGCCTGGTGGGCCGACCTCCTGGACCCGGACCTGCCCCGGCACAGCGCCCCTGGCGGGTGGCCAGCCCTCCACTCCGTCCTGGGCTGGGCGCTCCTCTCCCTGCACCTGCATGAAGCGTTCGTCCGAGAGTCAGTGTGTGGAAGATGGAGATCGCCCCAGAGCGATGGCCCGCAGGCCTGGTCAGAGACACACGCACTGCACGGGGACATCGCCAACCACCCTCCTTCCAAAAGCGTCCGATGAGCGAGTGCGCTCCGCTCACTGCAACGGAGCAGATGCCCGACGAAGCATCATGGCTAAAGCGTCGCTGCCTCGGTCCCTGCCCCAAACAGAGCAGGGCGCAGACAAATAAATACACGAAAATGTCAATAAATAAGGGGAAAGGCACAAACAAGCAGCACAAACGGGGTTTGGAGTCAAAACCCCACCCAGGAAGCCAAAGCTGAGTGCTCAGCGGCGCGGCCCCCCACCCAGCCCATCTGTCCACAGCGGCCGAGGGCCCGAGCCTGAGGCTGTGTTCAACTGCCCGCAGGTGGCCTGGAGTGCAGGCAGTCAGGACACGCCTGGGACCAGAGGCCCTTCCAGGTGGTCCTGGGACCCCTGGGGGAAGGCTCCAGGGCCAGCCACACGCCCTCGCCACGTAGGGTTCGGGGACCCGGGGGTAGGCACGCGCCCGTGCACAGCGCTCTGCGGGGAGTCCCGCTCCTGCCCTCGCAGCAGAGGAGAGGGAAGCTCCAGTGAGCGCCCCTCCCACGCTGTCCTCAGACTCCCGCAGGCAGCTATTAAGTTCCCACGTGAGCTGAGCCTCAGCGCTGCCGAGACCCTGAAAACTGCTCGGAGGGAGCCACCTGCGCTCTGCACAGGACACGCTGAGGCCCCAGCCCCAAGCAGACTGGAGGCCGAGTCACCCACCTGGGGCTCCTGGACTGGCAGTGTCCCCGGGGGCTGCTGTCCAGAGGTCCCAGAGCAGAGCTACCCTCCGCCGGGGTGGGGCTGGGAGGCACCGTCCTTGGTAGGTGGGCCGAGTGGAGAGCGCCCAGCGGGTGGATGCTGGCGGGAGTCGGTCAACGCCCGGCTCTCCCAAGGAGGGCCTGTGCCTACGGGGGGGGGGGGGGGGGGGCCGGGGGCCAGGACTGGAAAAGCTCCCCTCAGCCCCACCCAGTGGCCGCATCCACCTGCTGACACTCCAAATTCCCCATGGCCCCTGCCAACGTCCAGGCAAGGCCTGCCTCCCGCTGTCCCCGCCCAGTCACAGCCCAGCTTTGGTCCCATCCCCCAAGAACACGCCCCGGCCCAGCTGAAGCCGCTGCAGCCAACGCGGAACAGCCTTCACCAGCGTCCACCACCCGCAGGGCCTCCCCTCTCACAGACTCCTGATTGGCAGGGCCGGACCCGAGCTCGGCCAACAAGGCGCCCGTCCCTCAGGAGCAGTGCACAGCCCGACCTGGGGCCGCATCTGGTGGCAGCGCCAGGCCTGCAGCGACTGTGTCCCCCCTGAACCACAGGAGGCCCCCCTCAGACCCCATGCAAGGCAGCCCGCTCCCCAGCTCAGAACCCACCCGTGGCACAGGCGGCAGCTTGGAATCCTGCCCTCGGGCCCCAGGAGGCCAGGGCCAGACACCGCCTGTCTGGGTGGCAAAACACACAGCGATGAAACAAGCCCAGTCGTAAGCGCAATTGTTACAGATCATGCTCCTCTTGCTACAGAAAACCAACCAGATTTGACATCCACCCATCTCTCCACACTTCCAAAGGTCAGAATCACAGGGATCCACACCGTGGCCCTGAGGCCTCGCATGACCAGACGTGGTTTTCCTGGCAACAGCGGCACCCGGAGGGGCAGCCCACACCTGGCTGTTTAGCCCAGGTGTGAGGGAGCCCCACCCACAACCCCAGATGTCAGGGGCCAACAGCTCAGCTCTCTCTCCCCCATCTCCCCCACCCCCGCCCCAGACAGGCTAGGGAAAGACCTGCCTTCACTGCTACCCATTTCTCAGGTTCCAGGAGCAACTACGGAGACATCGGGTCCAAAAAGGATGAGCAACTGGCAACCACAGGTGTTTGGTACACTGGACAGGGGCAAGTGACAGCTGGGCAGGTGGCGTCTGCGTCATGTGCAGGGACTGAGTGAGAGGCTGGCTGCAGGCCTCCCCAGCGGGTCCGGCAGTGAACACTTCTGGGCAGCCCAGGCCAGGCGGGCGAGCGCGGCCAGGCCCAGTCACTGGTGTCTTCGAGCCCCCCAGAGCGAAGCGGCGGCGGACCCAAGGCCTGCGGGCTCCAGGAGGGGCACAGCCTGGGGAACGTCGAGCGTCACCTTCCGGCTGTGAACAAACGCAGGGCCTCGCTGGACACCCTCCCGGACTGGACAGCAGGACCACCCGCCCCGGGGGGGGGGGGGCGAGGGCCTGGCGAGGAAGGGTGCCTGTGTGACAGACGTCTCAGGTCGACCCTGGCGCACGGGAAAAACCGGCAAGTCTGTGAAATGCCATTCTATACTCCATGCTTTTTTACCGAGACCCCCCCCCCACTCCACTCGGTGTCAGGAGGAAGAACCACCAATCACAGTGGGAAGGGAAGGTGCAGACAGAAGCTCCAGGAAGCTCCGGAGTCTCCCCGGGCCCGGTGCAGCCAGCACCTGCTCTTGGGCCGAGGCCACTCACTCACAGGCGGCTGCGAAAACCCAAGACAGACACTCGGGCAGAACGAAGCCCCGGCCAGAGATTCCTGAGGGGGTTACACGCAGAGAACAGGGCTGCCGGCCCCGCCGAGCGCCCAGCGAGAGCAAGTAGGCACAGGGCAGGGCTGGAGGGGCAGAACGAGGGCCAACTTCACCACAGACCACCTCCCGGGCTGTGGCCGCTGCCCTTGACCTCTACTCGTGCAGCAGGAACTTCTTGATGGGTTCCGGCAGCGGCAGTGCGGGGATCAGATGCAGGCGGTGTTTGCCGAGAGCTCTTCTCACCGCCACGCGGCACAGGTTCAGCAAGGCCCTGGGGACACCTGGACACCAGGGGGAGAAGGGGGGAGACGGAGGCGGGGGGTTAACTCCCCTCCTCACTCTGCGACCAACAGGCACGGAGGCGCTCTACCGGCTCCCTGGTTTCAGAGCGAGGCTCAAAAGCCCCACTGAGAAACCCCCCTCGCCCGAGGTGCCGGCTCACAGTGACAGCGTCTCCTCGCCCGTGTCCTGCCCCAGACAGAGCAGAGCTGGCCCATGAGGAGGGCAGGCCGCCGGTCTCCCTCCGGGTGGCCCAGACGCGCTGCGTCAACGCCTCCTGTGGCGGGCGTGGGCCCAGCAGCTCCACTCCCACAGCCCACCGACCAGGGCCTCAGGGGAGGCAGCCACTGGCTGCTGGGCTGCTGGCCGCTCCAGGGCGATGTGCCAAGGGCCACCCCAACGACATTCTGCGGGAGGGGCCGTGCGCTGTCTGTCCCCTCAGACGCGCTCCAAAGGCAGGTGCCGGCAGGCCCCGGGGGCAGGACAGAGGGGACCCCGATGTCTGCGTGGGAGAGCGAGCCTCCACCAGGACCCGGCCCACCAGCTGCAACCTCGCTGCCTGTCCTGTGAGTTCTCCACGCGTGAACGAGCAGACTGTGGACTTTCTAGAGGAGAGGGGGCCTCTCGCCCAGTCCCGAGCCGAGGGGAGGAGCGAGGGACCCTAGAAAACGGGCCTGCGACTTGCTTAGGGCAGGCACTCAAAACCCAAACAGGAGTGAAAGAATTTGGGGCCGCAGAGCAAAGAGACTGCGACTTTCGGAACCTGGAGGACACGTGCTTTCGTCCACTTCCTGGTATCGACTGCTGGTACCTAAGGGTTTTCTTCACAGAGAAGACCAACCCAGAACACCATTCGGGAAGGTTCCTGGCCCTAACGTGGATGCTGACCCGGTGCTTGGGCAGAGGGTTTTTAACTGGCCGCACCGGGGTTCACCGCACTGACCCGGACCGAGCGCAGGCCCGGGGCAGACTCAGGCCCTTACTTCTGGCCTCTTTGAAGAGCTGCAGGGCCTCCGGGTCCACCTTCCTCCGGCCTCGGGCCTCGGGGCCCAGGGACTCCCACCGGACCAGGCTCAGGTTGGCGCCGAAGTCTACGAGCAGGCCCACGAAGGCCGCCTCGCAGCCGTGCCGCAGGACGGCGTCCAGGACGCAGCCGGGCGCGCCCCTGGAGAAGCCCTGGGTGTTGACGGGCCCGTTGCAGTTGAAGTCGGGGTTCGCCCCCGCCTGCAGCAGCAGCCGGAAGCACTGCAGGTTGTGGTAGGCCGCGCTGATGTACAGGGGGCAGACCACCAGGGAGGTGAGGCGCCGGGAGAAGGGGGGCCGGAGGTCAGGGATCACGTGGTGGTTGATGTCCACGTCCGCCCCATACCTGCAGGGAACACAGGGACAGTCAGACCTCGAGGTGGCTCACGGAGCGCGACAGCTCACCCGGCCAGCAGGCAGCAGCGGTTCAGGACCCGCGGCCCACGTGCAGAGGCGGTGAGGGGCTCTTCCAAACCCTTCCGGGCTCGACACCCCACAGCCACTGAGAATCCTAAAAGGACAGCATCCAGATCCATCACCAAACCAGCAATCCCAAAACCTGAAAAAGGCCACACACACCATAAAGAAACCAACTAACTAATGTCACTTCTGCGCATCAACTTAGCCCCCAGCAAAACGTCAGCAGGACAACCCCATCACTCAGGACGTGCCAAGCCCCGGCCCCACGGGGCCGCTGCAAGAGCGGAGTGGCTGCCCCGACATCAGAGACTCTACGAGTATCTCCTGTCACATGCAGGGGTCTAAGGAACGAGCCGTGACCGTCTCCACAGACGAGAATGCAGGTGTGTGACGGAACCCAGTACTCACGCTCGTTCAAAAATACTCAGAAAAGGAGTAGGTGACAGGCGTCTCCTAGACACGAAAAAAATACATCCTCAACGCAGAAGTCGGCATCTTGCCCAACAGGAGCCACTGGGCTACCCTGCTAAGCCAGGCCCAAAACACACCCCACCTGCTGACTCGCTACTTTAAAGGCATCTTAAATAAAGTAACTGTTGGTGCAATTAGACAATTAACTGATAGAGAAGGCAAAGAAAGAGGTAAAACTTCCCGCTTTCAGAGGCTGTGACCACGTCTGGAAAACCCTAAATCAATGAAAATACAACTGACAAGCAGCAAGAGGTATATTGCAGGAACACAACATCAGCCCTGGCTGGTGTAGCTCAGTGGATTGAGCGTCCACAGTTCCCCGTGTCCCGGGGAGCCGGCACTGCCACTCAGAGCAGCGTGGGGAGAGGGGGGGAGAGGCTGCCCCCAGGCCTGTGCACTCACGGGACCACCAGCCCCCTCACTGACACCATGGCAGGCACCGTCTGACACTCAAACGCCAACATCACCCTCCGAGGCTTCCTGGGAGGGAGGAGGGAGACTTCGGGAACACACCCCAAACCAGCGGGAACGTGTTCCACTCCCTACAGTCAACCAATCACGGAAAGGAGAGTGGACTGCAAGCACTAGTATTTTTCCCTCATTCCTAGGGGTCTGTCTCCCGAAGTGTCTGTGATTTTGGGCAACACGACAGCCCTGCATCCACTCATAAAAACATGCTGGATGCAATCCAGTTCATTTTAATCCTGAAGATTTTCCAAAACCTCCCCCGCTTTTAATATCACTGGCAAAGAACCCTGGGGAAAACTCAGTAAATCAACATAACATTTGCACACACAGAAATACTGCCCCCCACCTTTTTTTTAAAAAACCTGAGCAGCACCTATCAAGGGAGTCTGTAAGAAATAAGTCGGGGGTTCGCTTGCAGATGCAGTGGTTATAAGAACAACGAGAGGGGAGGGCTGACAGAGTGGGGCACAGCACAGGGTGACGGAGGGCCCTGCGGGAGGGGGCGAGCGGGAGGCAGGGGTGCTCATGCTGCGCCCCCTTCCCCGCCAGTCAGCTGCCCCTTCGGAGGACACCGCACTCCCTGACAGAGCAGTGTGCAGAGCCTCACTGTGCCCCTGCAGCCAGGAGGGGACCGAGGTCCGGACAACTGTCCTCCAGAAGGACGCCGTGCGCCCCTCTCAAAGTCAGACCTGACCCCTCCCACAGCAGCTGTGCTCCACAAGCGGACCGTGACGCCCCAGAAGCCCCAGGTGGTTTCTGGGACCGAGGTGGAATCGCGCAGAGAGACCCACCCACAACATTCCGAGTTAGTGAGGGCTCGCGTCCTCCACGGGGCAGACGCATGGGACTGAGGCTGCCTGGCCCGAAGCCCCCACCCCTCTCCCCCTAACAGGACGACCACACCCCCCACTCACCTTTCCAGAAGCCAACCTCACAGCTAGGCAGACACAGAGCCTCTGATGGAACAAGTCCGGTCCCAGAACCTAGTTTCAAACCCACGTTCTGTGCTGGGCGAGGGGACGCCAGGTCCCTGCCCTCGAACCGTCCACCCCACTGCAGCCCGTCAGCACGGAACCCTTGCCTGGTCCCTGGACACGGAGAACCCGCTCCCTGCACTGCACTCTGACCCCCTCCGTGGGGGGGCCGCCTCCGGGGCCAGGGAGTGGGACGGGCACCCTGGGCAGCAAGGAGCCACTGGGTGGACAACAGGAACTGGAAAGGTCGCCAGAAGTCCAATCAGAGGAAGACCACAAACCACTGGAACCCCGAGGAAGGCCGTGGAACACAGACGCAAAGGGAGCAGTTAAGAAACAAAGAGAGACCCACCAGCAGCTGCAGCAGAATTCTTTTTTTTTTTAAAAGCATCCCAGACAGTCAAATGACAAAGGTGGGCACCAGGGAGCGACTTCAACCGGGAAGAGCGGGGCCGCAGCTGTGACACTGACCGGAGCCTCCAGGAAGCGAGGAGGCTTCTCACTCAACAAAACCTTTTGTGTTGATCAAGACCAATAAGAACTCTTATGAGCTAAATCAGCACCCAAGTACAGAACACAGAATCTACCAGAAATACCAGGGAACCACCCTCGCAGCTGAGACCAGACGCTCGGAGTCTCTGAGGTCCGGGCCGGCCCCCGGTTAGAAACCTCGGGGAGGAGCGGCCTGCCCGAGGCCGCCGCACTGCGCCCCACAGACGGAACCCCCGCAGCAGAACCCCCGCGGCCAGGACGTGCGTCCACGGCAACGGAAACCAGATGGTTAGTTACACTACCCAAACACGACACAATACAATTAGATGCAACTTTCTCCTCCGTAATGACAAGAATGGACAAGAAATCAGCTTCAACTTCACCTGTTTAAAAATGAGGAAAATCCTTAGTGGGTACGGCCAAGGCTATAAACAAAGATAAATTAATACCCTCAAATGTTTACATTGTTACAGAAAACAAAGAATAACCACTCAACTCAAAAGTTATGAAGATACAGTATTTTTAAAACAGAAAAAAGTAGCAATTAGTAAAAATAACAAAAGAACTGAAAAACCTAAGTAGTACCTCTTTTAAATGACTAATAAAATAAACAAACCCTCTGACAAGTCTGATTTGAAAGAGAAAAAGCAACACAGACTACAAGGAGCCAGGCCCCGGCTGACACGCCACGTGCCCCGCCCCCGAGGAAGGCCCCCAGGACCACGGGGGCTGGCTGTGGTACTGACCTGATGAGGGCCTGCAGGATGTCGGCCCTGCCCACCCGAGAGGCGTGGTAGACCGGGGTGCTGCGGTGGTGCCGGCTGCCATTGGGGTCGGCACCGGCCTCCAGGAGGATCTGGGTGCTCTCCAGGTGCCCGTTCACCACGGCCACGTACAGGGCCGTCTGTCCCTTCACATCCACCAGGTCCACCTCGGCCCCCTTCCGGATCAGGAAGTCCACGCAGTTCCCGTGGCCGGCAGTGGCTGCGATGCGCAGCGGGGTGCAGGGCAGCCAGCCACAGCACCAGACGGACTTCTCATTGATGCGGCTGGGAGAGAGCACAGGGCAGCCGGCACTGAGGGCGGTGCCGGGAGACCAGCAAAAGGCCCCGCCTGCCCTGGGACAGGGACTGGGAGGCGGAGGGCAGGGCCGGCCCATCAGCCAGCCATCCAGGGCTGTGACCATGCTCTGGAGAGTGTTCTGCCCGTGCATCCTCACCATGCTGGGCCCGGGCACGTGGCAGGACGGCAATCAAGGGCCCATTCTACAAAAAAGAAACCCCGCCCTGGCTGGCGTGGCTCAGTGGATTGAGAACCAGCCTGCCAACCGAAAGGTTGCCGGTTGGATTCCCAGTCAGGGCACAAGCCTGGGTTTTGGGCCAGGTCCCCAGTAGGGGGTGTGCAAGAGGCAGCCACACACTGATGTTTCTCTCTCTCCCCCCTTCCCTTCCCCTCAGTCTAAAAATAAGCAAAATCTGAGAAAGAAAAAAAGAGGGAAGAAAAGAAATCCCTCTGGGAGCCACCCACAGAGGTAGAATGAGACATAGCACTGGAACCGGGAGAAGAAGCAGGAAGACAGGAAAAGCAGGAGGCAGCCCTGGGGGCGGGTCTCACACCCAGGCGGGGAGAAGGGACAGCAGACTCTGCTACAGGGAAGGAAGGGCTGAAGCCACCCAGGAAGGACTGGAGGACTGGGCAGGCAGGCGGCAACAGGATGAGCAAGAATCGGAGCCTGCAGCGCGCGCACGCACACATGCCAGCATGACAGACAGCGTCCATCGGAGACAGATGACTGGGGACCTAAGAAGCCAGACAAGAGTACACCAGGAATGATGTCACATATGGTGTCACATATGGGGTTGGGACCCCAGGCCAAGGAAGCCGAATTCAGGCACACAGCCTCGGATACAGAGCCACAAGAGTCCTTGAAAGGGGCGAGGCCACCCGCTAACGCAGAGGGTGATGCTGCCACCTCAGTACTGTCAAGGAAGCCAACCCAGAGGGGCCAGAAGCCAGCAGAAAACATAAAGGTCCAGTGACAGTGGTGAACTTGAACTCAGTCCTGCCCGCACACCGGGCTGTGCACCACGAGTCTGGCCGTGTTCTCCTTCGGCTCCTCCGCTCCCCACCCTCTAAGACGGGAAAGTCTCCACCACAGGCCAGGCAGCGCACCCCCCGCTGGGGCGTGAGCCTCAGCCTCAGGTGGAACCGGGACGGCCAGGCCCACCTGCGGTAGCCCTCCTCCTGCAGCAGGCTCCGGAGGGTCTGCAGGTCCCCCACGTAGGCGGCGTCATGGAGCCTGGTGTCCTCACAGCGCTCCAGCGGGTGGTCGCAGAACTGCTCCCTCAGCCACTCCTTCAGATTGGGACCTGCGCTGGAGAAAGGGGCTCCTGTCAGCTCCGGGGAGTCCCGCCTACACCAACCAGAAGGGGGCGCCACCTGCAGCCACGCCCCCCACCCAAGAAGAACTCGTTCCCATGCTCTAGAAACTTCCAGAGCACAGGCAGATACAGGAAGTTTCCCTTAATGAAAGTAGCACATTCCTGACCCCGAACCTGACACAAACAGTACTTTTCACAGAGACGTTGGTGGGATGGGGGACCATGAGCCAAACCTACTTAACACAGACGATCCCAACCAAACAAGGGCTCCGTGAGCGGGAAAGACGCCAACCCCAGGCTGCCTCCGACCAGGTCTGGGGGTAAAGCTCGCCCCTCCCAGGCACCGTCCCCAGTGCAGAAGTCGCTTCTCACATTCTAGTCAGACCTGGCAGAAGCGAACACTGAAGGCCACAGGCCACTGCGCAGGCTGCCATCGAGGACCCCGTGGGGCCGCCACCCAGGCCCCCACTCCAGCCACGCCATAGTTTCACCCCACGACATGAACAAGTTTGAGGAGGGGGTGAGACTGAGAGTGTGGAGGGTGAAGACAGACAGGTGAGCGGGCGCCATGGTGTCTGCTGGGCCTGCCTGGGCCTCTCGCTACCCCACCGCCCGGGGCGGCCCCTCTTCGCCGGCTGCAGGCCGACGGCCACTGCAGTCCGTGTTTTGCTGCTCAGCTCCTCCAGTGACAGCTGTCACCCCACGGGCCTGCCAGCGTCAGGTGGGGATGTCTGAGGTCACTCCCAGGCCTGCAACCCACTGGGTAACAAGACAGCGCCTGCGTGGAGTGGGGCGGCTCCAACCTGACTTCCATGGGACTCCTGACTGAGAGGCAGCTGCCGTCCTCTTTGTCCATCCGACACCTCTCTTTCCACCTCTCACTCACATGAGATCATGTCCTGGCCCCCAAGGTCCTGGCTGTCCCTGGTGTCAAAGCCAGTACCAGCCAAACCCCAGGACGCAAGAGACTTTGGCTTGTTCACTGGGATGTCCCAGCTCCAGCCAATCCCAGGTCCTTGGTGACCACTTGCTGGAGCAAGGGAAGGAGGGTTCCTAAGTGTTACTTGCCAGGGTCTCCAAGTCAGCATCATACCTCAAACCAAGGTGCACTTAAGAGTAATAAGCTTCTTGGTTTATTAATCAAGACGAATAATCTCTTTGGAGGAGTATCTCTCCAAAGATACCCAGGAGCATGGAAGGCCCAGGGCACAGAGAAGCGGTTGGTACACAGGCAGATCCAGACGCGAGGCGAGGGGATCCCACCGCAGGTTCAAAGGGAGCCGATCCCGAACCCCAGGGAATGATGGTCGATCCCTGCATAGCCACTCGTGCAGAGCAGGGACATTTCCAAGGGAGACCCTACGTCTCATGGCTACTTTGGGTGGTGGTCGTGAGCCCTTCCAGCGCCTAAACAAAGTGCCAGAGCCGCCGCCTCTGCCGGCGGAGCCGGGGCCAGGCCTGCTGTGTCACTGACTGCGCTACCGTCGTCTGCGGGGGCAGGTGGATACGAGGCCCCTGCGTGCCCGGGGGTCCGGTTCTGGGGCTTTCCTGACCGGCGCCGGCAGAGCCTAGAGCGGCCCGTGTCCTATGTTTACAGTCGGGTCCTATGTTTACAGTCGGGTCCTAACGGGCTGACAGTTAAAACACAGGTTCCCTAGAAACCGAAACTGGCACGAGGGCTTCGCGCGAGCCCGAGGAGCGCGGTGACCACAGCGACCGGCCAGACAGACCCCCGGACGAGGACGCAGCGGCCTGGGCCTCGCCCCCGCGCCCGGGCGGCGGCGCGCACGTTACCTGCGGGGCCCGGTCCGGCCCGACCGTCGGGACCGCCACCCTCCGCCATGCGCGATCCCACCTCCGGCCGGTCCGCGGCCCGCCTCCCAGGTCCGAAAGCGCCCCGCAGACCGGAACCAGCGCGACAGCGACCACTTCCGGCGCCGCGGCTGGTGGGTCGCGCCGGAGGAGCGACTTCCGGGAGCGCGCCCTTCCCGCTCGGGCGTCCGCAGCGCCGCGCAGGGCTCCGGGGCCACGTCTCGCCTCGCTTCCTGAGGGGAGCGTGAGCGAGCCCGGAAACCGGGGCGCGCTGTCGGTCCGGGGTGCGGGGCCTGAGCACCGTGGCAGCGGGGGCGGCAGGGAAAACAAGCTCGCCGGGGGCGGGGCCGGACTCGCCTGCCCCGGGAGCCCCCGTTGGTCGGGGGGCGTGGCCTCCTGCCTGGAGGCCGTGGGCGGGGCCGTGGGCGTGTCCCCGGGCCGTAGTCCAGCTGCAGGTTGTCCTCGCGCGGTGGCTGGTGCCCAGGAGTGACTGTGGGTGAAGCGTGCGCCCACAGCGGCGGCCCGGCTCTACATGTCCGCGCTCAGCCGTGGGTTCAGAGCAGCCCCCAGAGCGTGGACCTGAAGCTACGGGACGCCCAGCTCTGTTCCCCTCAGCAGGCTGGGTTGGAGGGGTACCGCCGCGCGGGGCTTCTTTACTGGGGTATTCGACGAACGCTTCCCCGAAACTCTCTGCACGAACTGCTTTTAAACCACGCATATTGAGTTGGGGCTTGAGCAGGGGTTTCCTGTGGCTCCTTCCACGACCCCCCGCCGCCCCCGCAAACCAGACAGCGTGCCTGTTTCTGCGGGAGGAGGAGCCCGGGGCAACGAGGGATAGATGGAGGGAGGGAGCGCGGGACAGGCGAAGGGCAGCTCTGGGTTTGAGAGGTGAAGTGGGAGATACTGCGGGGGGGGGGGGGCTGACTAGTGTGAGGCCAGACCCCCCAACAACTGTGCATGTGACTCGCTGGCCCTTCTTGCGTTGCAATAACAAGGCCAGGCTGGAGTAAGGGGAGCCACAAACGGGAATGGTGTCCCCGCGCTGAGCCAGCCCAGATGCCCTGGATGGCACCACCTGAGCTGTAGACCCGCAGGCCCTGCTGGGTGTTGGTGGGGAAAGGGTGCTTCGAGCATGGCTGTGTGGACTTGATAAGAGCAGAGTACACCCTTGGCACTAGGACCAGGGTGACACCCACGGTCCCACCCTGCAGGGGGGCCAGGCAGCCCCACACACTGAAAGATCGTGGGTTGGATGCCCAGTCAGGGCACATATCCAGGCTGCAGGTTCGACCCTGTGTCCAGGGGGCAAAGGGGAGGCAGCCAAGCAGTGTTGCTGCCTCATCAGTGTCTCTCTCTCTGAATCAGTGAAAGCATATCCTCCAGTGCCCAACAGAGGCTGGGCAAACAAATGTGGTCCATCCACACGGGAATAGTACTCAGCCCTGAAAAGGACAGACATTCTGACTCCTGCTGCAATATGGGCGACCCTTGAGGACACTGCAGGATGAAAGAAGCCCGTCACAAAAAGGACAAGTTCACAGAGCTTCCTAACGTAGTCCAATTCACAGAAGGGTGGGTGCCCGGGGCTGGGTGGGAATGAGGGATTTATTTTAAGATTGTATTTCTTTTTAGAGAGAGGGAGAGGAACAAAATGTGTGAGAGAAACTAACTGGTTGCCTCTCAAACACCCCCAGTGGGGGATGGAACCCACAACCCAGGCGTGTGCCCTGAGCAGGAATCGAACCAGTAACCTTTGGGTTCACGGGCAGATGTCCAGTCCACTGAGCCACACCAGCGGGGCGAGTCATTGTTTAATGAACAGTTTGAGGACAGGGAGATGTTCAAGCACAGTTCGGTCCCACTACAGTGCGAATGTATGTAACACTACAGAACGGCACACTTTACAAAGGGAAGGTAGCGTTTATTAGACTACATTACCACAACAGAGAAGGGGAGCCTGGCCCCTGTGCCCCCACCCCCGTGGTGCTGGTGCAGTGGGTCTGGGGTGCAGCCTGGACCTGGACTCGGAGGTCTCCGAGGCTCCCGGGTGACTCGCACACACAGCCGCGCTGGGAACCCGCCCCTGGCTGCAGCTGCGAGGCTGCCCTCAGCACCTTTTCGCAGAGGGGGCTCCACGGCCTGCGTGGGGTCATCATGCCATTCCTGGCTCTGAGGCAGCCTGGGGGATCCTGTCTGTTGGGGAAGAACCTGAGGCTCCAGCGAGTCTATGACATCCCCCCTCCTAAGTGCCCAGTGGGCTCAGGGCAGTGCCCGCAACACCAGCGGGTGCTGAGACCCCATTGTGAGGTGAGGGGGCGCCGGCTGTGCCCAGAATGCGCAGTGGCGGAGACGGGACTCAAACTGCTGCCCGTCCAGCCCTGCGGCGTCTCTCCTCAAGCCTCACTTCCTATCCAGACTCCCACCACCTCCTCTGGGCCCTGCGAGCCCCAAACACCCAGCAACCACGGGCTGCCCGGTGAGCGCTGCAGGTGGGCCACATTCCGATCACGTGACCTGCAGCCAACGGGACGGTGCCCGAGTTGTCACAGCTGTGAAGGGCCAGGCCCCGAGGGACGCAGGGCACATGGTGCCTCAGGCAAAGTGGGGGTGGTCTCTGTGAGGGGGCAGGTCACATCCCACTGGCACGCTCGCATTTGCCCAGTCCCCCCATCACTCCCTCCCACCCTAAAACGTCCCCCAATCCCATTGCCATCCGATGGCTCAGGCATCTCCCACTCGTCTGTATCCCCAAATTAAAAGCCCTACATCCCCTAACGACCCCCTTGGAGTCCGGCCCAGTCTTTCTGGAGCATAGCCGGGCACAAAGTGCTCATGGTCCTTAGAAATTCCTCATCTAAGCCTTTATTTTCAGGCAGCTGCCCGCCATGTGAGAGATGCAGCTGCAGTGACGCCCATTAAACACAACTTTTGCAGGAACGATGTTCGGCGGCCGTTCTCCGGCTCAGGTCTGAGAAGGAGCCCGGAGCCCTCGTCCATAGGGCTCTTCCTGTGGCTGGGAGCCAGGACCCCTTCTGCTGACGGCACCGTGTGCAGGGCGGCAGGAGGCCTGAGCTGCTCGAGGCAGGGGCCTGGCCCAGGGCCTGGGCTGCTGGCACCACCGGGGGAGGACCCTGCAGCCCGGCCCCAGGGATCAGGCACCAGCAGCCGCCCTGCAGGATGGGGAGCAGGCAGCTCTCTGGCCCGTGGCCCCTGCACTTGGGGCAGCTCCTCCCAGGACACCTCGGGCCTCCCTCCTCTTTTGGAGGTCTCTCCTTTCCCACACCCCGTTCCTCTTCTGCCCTTGGCCTCTCAGGAGGGAGCTGGAGGCCCCAATATTCAGGTTCACCCCAGGGAGGCCATGAATCCAGGGCAACTGGTGCTCCAGGCTTTGCCTGCCTCCCAGCCTCGGTCAGGGAGCTGGTACCAGCAGAGAAAGGGGCCGTCCACAGGCCCCCTCCCCTTGGCCAAGGGACCTGGACAAGGAGCAACTCCTCCAGGCCTCTGTCTCCCATCCGTGAAATGGGACCAGTGACAGCTGCTCACAAGGTGGCTGAGAAAAAGGCACCCCTCGGAAGGTGCCACGTGGTTCGTGGCTGAGAGAGCCTCAGAACAAAATGGGCGTCTGCTGAGTGGGGCTGCCAGAAGCTAAATGGGCCAGCGCCACCCCCTCCCGCGCCTCATCCCCGGGTGGGAAGACGCCTCCCTGTGCTGTCCCACTGGGAGAGAGGCAGCGACCGCAGCCGGGGTGGTGGGCGGGCATCGTGGCCCAAGAAGCCTCCCAAACCAGCCACCCCAGCCGGAGCCAGGAATGTGCAGCCGAGGAAGGGGCTGACTTGCGGGGCTGCCGAGGACAACGCTGGCATGCGGTGCCCTTTGTGTGTGCCCCATGGGTACCGGGAGGCCACAGAGCAGGCTGAGGCCTGTGTGGGGGCCTACTGTGCACTGTGACTGGGGAGTGGGGGCAGGCCTTCGGAATCGGAGGGGGGACACCTGACCCCACATCCGCTGCTCACGGGGAAGTGGCAGGTTCTTGGGGACCGACTCCCACCTCAGTGCACCCGGGACAGAGGGGGCTCCAGAATGCAGGACTCCCAGTTTCAAAACCAGCATGGGTGGGACCCTGCCCTGCCCCTTGGGGTAGCGCCCCCCCAGCCTTGCCCCTGGCCCGCCCTTCACCACCAGGTGCGTTTTTTCCTGCCAGTTAACTCATGCCATCTCTGCCGCTCAGGCACACAGCTCCTGGAGCAGCCTGGAGCACTCTGTGTCCTCACCTGGGCGTTGGGTCCCTTGCACAGACACACCCCCAGCCTCCCCACCTGTCGCTCCCCAAGCCCTGTTCTAGAGTCTCCGTCTGCACCCACAAGGTCCCTCCAGTCTGACCCCCCAGCCCTGGACAGACCAGGCCCCTCCCCGCCAGCCCCCCCCCCAGTCTCAGGTATTGGCCTCTCACCCCAATTTGCTTCCGCAGGGGCCGTCCCACCCTGTCTGCCCTGGCAGACGTGTCCCTTCCTGGAAAGACAGTTCTGGTCACAGAGATAGTTCACGTCTGCCCGGAATCCGCAGGGCTCGTGACCCCACAAACAGGCCCAGTCACTGGACGGCCCCGCATGTGGACACCACGCCTGGTCCCGGGTGCAGGGGTGGCCCAGGGTCCCGTGGGGGGGGGCGAGTGTCCCCAAACAGAGGAGCCCGCTCCCCAGCCTCTGCAGGCGTATTTAGGGGCCTCAGCGTCCTCTCTGCCGCTCACTCCCAGTCTCTACCTTTGTCCCCCACTGTCCCCGGAGCTTGGCTCTCTCCCTCCGTGACTCCTGAGCGCCGTGCCATTCTGTCCGCCACTCTTGGCTCACCAGCGTCACCCCTGCTTGTCCCAGTGCCTGCCCACGCCCTCCCCTCTCTGAGCTCCTGCCCCTGTGACAGGTCACGGGTCCCACTGAGTCAGAGACTCCATTCTGGCCCCCACCCCACCGTGACCATCAGCTCAGACAGCCACCTCCACCGTGAGTCTCTCGGTTCACGTGCTGGGGGACACCAGGCAGCCACAGTCAGCTTCCCCCAGCCCAGGGGCCCGCATGCAGCCCAGATTCCAGGCTGCGTGGGAAACAGACGTTTGGCCCCAGGGTGCCTTGC